TAGAACTGCGTCCGCGGACACTGTACGGTATGCAGAAGCAATGCGTAGTGCCCCTCTGCGCTGGACCGAAGACATTTTAATCCGGTATTTTTTGAGTTTCAATGCGTCGGCCCATATTTCTGCCCCGTACAGGAGTACCGACTGGACTGCTGTCATCAAATGTTTCCTACGGCATGGCTTCGGGCTGCCCACGTTCGCCATCAGCCGGCTTAGAGCCACCGTGCTCTGCGCAATTTTTTCACGTACTCCTTGAATGTGTTCCCAGAATGTGAGTTCGCTGTCAAGCTTCACCCCTATTCTTGCTGTTATGACGGCGGCCACGTCGTCCGCGAAAGCGACAAGGAAGGCGCTCTCCGGCATTTCCGTGCACAACAGACTGTCATACGTGGCGTTCCAGAGGTCCGGGCCAAGTACAACCCCTGACCTTCCGTCGTACAAAAGCCAACGAACGGTCTCTGAGGTAGTCCCGAATCATATCTAGCCAAGTATGTTGGAGAATTGAATGACCGTTCCAAGGCCTTCAGCATATCGCCCCATCTTGCCGAGTTGAAGGCGTTCTTCACGTCCAGTGTGACTAGCAGCACTATTGGCCGCGCCTGCTGGCAGGCTTGTTCGGCTTTATGTACCGCTTCGACTACTTCGCTAATTGCTGCTATAGTTGAGTGTCCCTTTCTGAAGCCATGTTGTCGGAGTGAAGGCCTCCCTTGTTTTTTATGGCTGACGTCAAGCGTATTTTGAGCAGACTCCATCATCTTGCCTGCTGTGTCTAGCATGCAGAGTGGCAGGAACGATGAAGGACAGTATGGGTCCCCTTTGCTCTTGGGTATAAGCACCAGCCTCGCCTCTCCAGGAGATCAGGGCTCGTTTTCGCTGCTAACCTGATTGCCTCCGCTGGTATGCTATCGGGGCCTGGAGCCTTGCCGGCTTTCATGCTTCGCAGGGCCAACTTCAGCTCGTTTGCCGAAAACAGTGGTGCCTCGGCTTGCTCCTCGAGGAACACTCTATCTGCTCTTAGTGGGCGTGTGGGAAATAGTGAATCCCTATATTCTTAACTCGGACCTCATCCATCGCTTGCGATGGTGTATGGAACTTCGCAGCTCAGCAATTCGAGCATTCCACCAGTACATCTGATTTTTACCTGCCCATGCTCTCGTCTGCGGTATTGAGGCTTTGCATGTCCGGTGTATGCAGCGCATCGTTTGTTCCACCAGCTGAGCACAAGACGCCCTGGAACTTGCTAGGAGTGATGTGTCGAACTTGTGAGCATCGACCCATCCTGGTTTCCTGCGAGGGATACTACGTGTTTGCTCTCGCGTTGTGTCAGTGACTTGGAAGGTGATGTAGTTATGGTCGCTACCACTCAGGTCTTCCATCACTCTCCATGCGTCAGCCCTTCGAAGAAGGCTTTCTGAAACCAGAGTTATGTCAGGGATCGAGTATCCAATTTACACGGCTCTTGCGTTGAAATCTCCAGCAACAATTAAGTGTCCGGTTATATCACGCAACCCAGCTTCAAGGCCTTCGAGCTTCTCCCTTCACCAGAGTGATTTGCGCCATTTTTACCCAGACGTAGCAACGTCCGACCCCGCTGCTCTCTGCGCGATGGTTGCGGTTAGCAATCCATATCGCGGCCGAGCCTGATTGGTCAACATGCCAGGTTTCCTTAGCTCTACAGGGTTTGCTGATAATGACAGCGTCTGTTCTTTGTTTAAGAACCAATTGGTCCAGCAGGTCATCAGCTACCCTAGTCCTGTTGATGTTGCCTTGTATAAGTTTAATCATGTTCGCCCAAGCTTTGTCTTAGCCTCAACAAGGGCATCCCTGAAGGCATGGCACCCTCCCGACCCGGGCAGGTGTTTCAAATTTTGCTGGCCATCTCCCGCTGAGCACAAGTAGCAGCTTGGGGTTTCGTTATATGCAGATGCTATGTAGCCCTGCTGACCACATTTCCAGCATGACCGGCTTCTGTCTGGGTCTTTACATGCCGCCTTTTTGTGGCCATATCCCAGACAGCGGAAACACCTTTGAACTGTCTCGCTCTCTCGGACACGGCAGATAATCCAACCTACTCGCAACTTCCCCTTTTAAATAAGAGTTCGGCCTGGCAGTTCGTCGATTTCCACCACTGCCATTCCTTGTTCTCGCGAGTTTACAGCGAGAGAGACGCGAAGTTGGACATTCATATTTCATCCTAATTCCCCGCGTATAATGTTCTCCACTTCCGGGACCGTGGTTAAGCAGTCCATGCCCAGAACTTCTAGACGTAAGCGTCTAGTGAGGATACGGGCGTCTCCAAGCTAACCAATGGCAGTGCACACATCTTCCTTAAATGCTGAGTGGTCGCCACCTTTCTCCATCTCGATAAACACGCACCCTTTGCGGCTTTTCCGAACAGATCGAATTACGGTCTCCGTCTTCTCAGGTTGAGCTTACCACTTATCGTTCTCAGCACCTCTGCATAGGTTTTGCCTTCAGCTGGCTTAATGATTAATTTGGCGAGACTCTTCTTTTTTCTCACCCTCTTCTTTTTTTTCGGCTGGTCGCCTCGCCCTTATTGGCCAGGGGTTCACCTGGCGCTGGCGCTGGCCCTGGCCAGGGCTTTCTTCGTTTATCAACCGTTATCCATTGATTAATTGGTGCGGTTTTCCACGCTTTTTTATTTTCCAGCTCGCCTGTAGGGGAGTCGGATCGAGGTCGAGCTCGGAAAGAGTAGATCTTTTCCGGCGTTGCTCTCGGAGATTGCTTAGTATATTTAAGCTCTCCTCGATTTGGGCCATACCCGTTTTTATGTCCATGGACACATTCTTCTGCTTGGGGACAGCACTCTGCATCTTCTTCAAGACGAGCCGAATCTGGGCCAATTGTTCATCTTCAATGCCTTCGCAAGTTCTCAAGCTTGCGGTGACGTGCTTGTCGCTGTTTGCAGCAGCTGGTGTTTGATGACGACCATCCCGGCTGCCGGGAGTTGTCGTTTGGCAAGGTGTAGCCTTCTGCGCCACGGCGGCAGCTTTCTCCGTGCTCGCGGTGCCAGGATTTGCCTGTAGAGGAGTTTGTGGCGGGGAGCGCACAACTCTACTGCTCTTGCTGAATACGCTGCATTTGTCCGTACGTCGGTTTCGTTTGTCTGTTATTGTTTTAATTTGTTCACTTCAATTCAATTGGGTTAAAGCTTCAAGCCGCTATCTCCACACGTAGCACAGTCGCTTTTAAGTGTCCCGAAGTTCCCTTCTCTCAAAGGAGCAGGCCATCGCGAGGGTTGTCACAAGTCCTTAGGGGATATTGTGTTCATTTTTTTTTTTTGTTTTTGTTATATATATTTTTATTATTTTACCAATTACGCATTCAGGCTTCACTTTTTCATTTCTGTTTGTATTTTCCATTTTTTTGTTTTTCATATCTGTTATCTTTTACCAGTTACGAATTGCATTTTTTTTATATGTTATTAGTTTTTGTTTTCTTTATTTATTTTTATTTTTCAGGTATTTTTTAAATTTCACTAAATTAAGGAATGCTTCTCTAAGAAAGAAACAATTTTAAATTTCAGTTTTATAATAAAACAAAATTTAAGTGTGGATGAATCGTCAGTTATGCTTTATTCTTCATCATCTCGGAATTTGCCTCAGCAACTCGGAAAAATAAAAATTTAGAATTAATTATCTATAGGTATGATAAACACATATAGCGGGTCGAACCAAAATCGTTCACGCGGTTACAGCACCAGTGGAGAAGATGGATAAAATAAAAAATTTGTAAATGTGCAAAATTGAGCAAATTTATCTTAAAGTGCATTTAATGCAAAATAGATTTCATGTTTTGTTTTTGTGATTTGAGATGGTGCACAGGAGTACTGCTAAACGACAACGAGCACAATTCATAAAAATTAACGCCTGACTCAATGAAAGATGTCGAATTATTTTAAGCGAAAACTATTTAGAACTATGTTTTTCTATTTTCTTATTTTACTGCATCTTATTAATAAAAAACAAAAGACAAAAGGTAAATTTCAAATACAACTAATCAAAATGAAATTGTGGCCACAATATTAAGACATACTGCTACAATATTTTACTAACAGTTACCTTAAATAGTGTATGTTTTGGCTATTAGCAAAAAAAAATTTAAGTTCTAAAGTTGACTTATGGACGTTTTTGAATGCCTTCTGGCCTTCTGTGCACTGTAAGGAAAAATTCAAGTTTTGAAATTACACAAAAAAACGCCGAAACACGTAATCCGTATACCGTTTTTCTAGATCAGGCTATTCGTTTTAAGTTTGCATTGTGAAAGAAAATTCTTTTACAACAACATCAAGCTATCAACGAAGAAAATTGATTGATAAGCAAAGTTGTAAACGGTCAAATGAAAATGCGTAATAATTTCTTTACAAAATGTTTCCATCCAAATTAACGATTTCATTAACAGTTCATGCATGGCGTATGAGTAAAATTCTTTCCTAGTCATATTTCATAAAAAAGAAATTATTACACATTTTCATTTGACCATTTACAACTTTATTTATCAATAAATATTCTTCGTTGATAAAAAAAAGAACATGCTTTACCACAATCAAAATAATAAACAAAAGATCTCTTATTATTATTTTCCCTGTTAAAGTTTGCATTTTTTAATTCACAATGCAAACTTTAAATGAAGATATCTTGCGTAAATTACGACCCAAAATAAAGTTTACGTGTTTCAGTGTTTTTTGTGTCATTTTAGCGTCCCTACAGTGTTATCGATGGGTTATAAGCCAGGAGATTGCTTCACAATACCAGAAATTTATTATTTTGACTATATGTGTGTAGCTAAACAGTCATCAATAACATCGGAAACTTCTGAATGAATTGATAAACAAGTAATTTTTAAGCGCAAAAAAAACCGACTTCAAATCTCATATAAAAATTTAGGAGTACCGTTAATTTTTTCATGATCCAATGATCGGATCTAAATCAGATTAGTATAGGACCGCCTCTGGGACACTATCAATCCCTTTTTTTTGAAGTCGGTTAAAAAATACTTCAGTTTTCTTTCTTTTGCAAATCACTTACATTGAGACTATTGTTTTGATTTTCCAAAATGTCCGGAACAATATAACGCGCTGGAACTGTTTGTTTTGTTGAAAATGGACCATAGCTAGCTCTGATAGATACGGGTTCGGTTGTCTGAACCACCGTGAAACGATCAACAGACAAGACCGAATCATATGATGTCCTTGCTTTGGTTGGAGTGGCAGATGACGTTTGAATTGATATTTCGGGCGCAATAGGCGGCTGACGTGAATGTTTTAGGAAAAATCCACTCTCTGCCGATTCAAAATGGACTTCTACGCATAAGTTTACACCTAAAAGATTAGAAATTTTTTTTTAAGTTATCTATGTATTAACTAAAACCGAATGTAAATTTATGTAAGAAATTTTATTTATTGTTATTGCACAATTGTGATCAGAGTGTCCAGATTAGGCGATTTAGCGCCAATTTGGCCATTTTCTTGGATATTTGTGCGTACAAATTTAGAAAATCGCCTTGGGAGATTTTTTGCGATTTTTCCCCTTCAAATCAATTTTTTGTGCGCGACCATGTTCAGTTCTGTTCATGTTCAGTTCATGCTTCAGTTTTGATGTGGCAGCACTTTTTATNAATATTTTCATCAGGGACGTGAACCGGATGAAAAATTTGGTCGGTTCGGTTCAGCGGTTCGAACCGTTGTTGCACTTTTGGATTGGTTCGTCAAAGCGGTTTTTTTGGTCTCTGAACCGGGGTCTCGGTTCGGTTCAACGGTTCGAAAAACAAAAAAAAAATAACGCGCAAATTTAAGTGTCAAGTGCAACAACGCGGTGGTAGGTATTATCATGTTTAACAAAAAGATAAAAAGTGGGTACATTTATCTATTGAAAATTGGTTGAAACGAACCTTTAAACCTTTAAAGAAAGTGGTTCGGGTTTCGGTTCGGATCAAACATTTGTGGAAAATANGGGTACATTTATCTATTGAAAATTGGTTGAAACGAACCTTTAAACCTTTAAAGAAAGTGGTTCGGGTTTCGGTTCGGATCAAACATTTGTGAAAAATTTCGGTTCGGTTATTGGTTCAGTTAATTAATAGAAAAAAGCGGTTTTCCGGTTCAAACCCGGTTCGGTTCAAAACCGGTTCGGTTCAAAACCGGTTCACGTCCCTGCTTTTTATTGTATCGATTTTATTGTAGCATATGCCAATTAGTGATCGGATTTCTACCACATTGTGGTAGAACTACCACTTTTTTGAGCTCCTACCACTTCTACCACACAAGGTCTGAAGTCTACCACATATTCGCGTTTTTTTTGCTCGACATAATATTTGTTGTTTTTTTTTTATTTTGGCAGCAAAAATTGTCCAACACTANCACTTCTACCACACAAGGTCTGAAGTCTACCACATATTCGCGTTTTTTTTTGCTCGACATAATATTTGTTGTTTTTTTTTTATTTTGGCAGCAAAAATTGTCCAACACTTCACACAATATGTTAACGAGAATAAGAGAATACAAGATTCCGCATTTCCGGCGGCGATGAAACATTTTAACAGATTTAAAAGTAAACATAAAATAAAATAAAAATAAACTGTCAGAGTAAATTTTCTTAATATTAAATTTTTCGACAGGAAACGTTCTTCAATTGCCTTAGAATGCAAAGTATATGATTTATAAAAAGAATTAATAAAGAAAATTTANTCACACAATATGTTAACGAGAATAAGAGAATACAAGATTCCGCATTTCCGGCGGCGATGAAACATTTTAACAGATTTAAAAGTAAACATAAAATAAAATAAAAATAAACTGTCAGAGTAAATTTTCTTAATATTAAATTTTTCGACAGGAAACGTTCTTCAATTGCCTTAGAATGCAAAGTATATGATTTATAAAAAGAATTAATAAAGAAAATTTAAAAAATCGGAGATTTGTGAAAGTATTAATGAATTTCAGTGCATTTAAAGTTTCTGAGGCGTTGATTACATTTACTTGAGAATAGGGTAGTAGCAGTTTGTGGAACGAACCACTTTTATTCGCTAAATCGTGATGTGATAAAAAGAAAAGCTGGCAGCGCTCCGCAACGTTGGAGAAATGTCTCAAAGTAGGTTCGAAAAATATCTTTATAAGGAAGGAACTGCTTTACACTGTCAAGAAAAAAAAATTCCAAAACTCAACGTAGTTTTTAGCAAATTAAAAATCGCACTTTATTACATGTACTAAAATTTAAACGTTTTTTTTTGGAGATTCTAATTGAAAAGTTTGCAATTTATGTGAAACGTTGCACAATTTTTTTAATTTTTGCACAAAGTTTGAAACTCGGATTTATATGGTCTTTTAGACAATGAGCTATAATTTTGTAAAAAAATAACAGACAAAAGAAAAATAGTCAAAACCTGTTGAACTGTCGCGATCCTATTAATATTTATTATATTTTCTATTTCGTAGTACGCAGTCCTATTGGAAAATGTGTTAATACAAATATTTTTTAAAAGTATGCGTATTTTTAAGGAAAATTGTTTGTACATCACTATTATATAAGTGATTTATGTTATATATGAAGGTATTATATTCGTTTCTGGTTTTAAGAGAATGTATTGGTATCTGTGTTATAAAACACATCTCGTTTTTAATTTTTGGGACTTCATTTGTTTAATGGACCCCTGAAATTGTACGGCAAATGATTTTGAGGAACCGAACCGAAAAAAGTTCATATTTGGGAGTTATTTTAATCCCCGTTTTAAACAGGGTCCTAGAAGTCCCATTTACAAGGACTTTCGAAGACCAAATTATTACACAACAAGTAAAAAAGTCTAAGTTCGGGTTTAGCCGAACATTAAATACCCGGCGCAAGTATTAAATTAGTTTTTCACCTTTCTGAAAACTACCGTTACATGGTAAATATAGTGGTTTTACTCCTATGTCTACCAATTTCGATAGTATGTTCAGTTATACCTAATGGGAAAAACTTATATAGTTAGATGTGGGCGGTATCACGCCCACTTTCAAAAATTTTACAATAATGTTCCCTATTTTCAAGGGATTTCTGTTGGTATAAATTTTAGGTTAATTAGCATCCTTAAATTTCGAAATACTAAAGTTTCAAGAATTTCTAAAATTTACCGTTATATGAAAAGTGGGAGTAATTTTAGTCCGATTTCAATAGTTTTTAACGTTTAGCTTTTATGTGGTAAGCGAAATAATTGTACCAAGTTTGGTATAAATTGATCAAACGGTTACCGAGATATACATACCTGGTCATAAACGGGTATGCCACGCCCATTTTCCAAAATTTTATCATAAACGTGTTTTTTGCTAAAGAGTTATTGCAAACATTAATTTTGACTAATGTAGCTTCTGTAGTTAATGATTTATCGAAGGTTTCGGTTCTAAATTACCTTTATAAGGGATGGGGGCGTGGTTATTGTCCGATTTTAAAAATTTTCAGCCGATTGGTATGTTTTATTAAGGCCAACAACTGTGAGAAATTTGGGAGAAATTGGTCTAGCGGTTATCAAGTTTGTGCAGAACGATGACACTCGGTTTTGTACTTTAAACGACGATATGTATGTATGTAGATATGTATTTATGAGGCCGAGTTACGAGCAACCCAACGGGACTGAAAGTTAGCTGCTCCCTAAAGGCGCAAGCAGGGAGCAGTAAAAAAGCAAAGTAAAAAATAAATTTTTAAATTTCTAGCAATGCTCAGAAATAAATAGCATTTAGAATAATAATATAAAATATTTTCTTTTGAAAAATATGTAGTTACCCTGCAAACCATTTTTCAGAGTATTCAGCATTGTAAAGAAATTTTAAAGAATTCGTTAAGATTTAATTCGATTTTTTGCCGAATTTTCTAAAATGAAATAAATTACGCACACTTCCATTATTTTACGAAATTTCGGAAGAAAATCTGTGAAGCAACGAAAATAATGCTGCTATGTGAAGAATATCTTTCAGAATTTTTCCAGAATTTTCTTTATTTTTCCTACAGAAATTTCTTTACGAGTTCGTGTCAACCACTTCATATAATTTTCTTTGAAAATTCGTAAAAAAATCGTTACATAAATGAGATACTCCTAACGATTTCCTTAAGATTTCGGGAACTTTGGTTTGCAGGGTAATTTATGTACAAACATATATGTATGTATGTATGCATTTTCGTATGTATACCACACAGAAAAGAAGAACAATAAGTACACTTAATAAAGCCTTCAACTTCAACAAAAACCATTATTTATTAAAACAAAAATGTAATATAAAAATTAAAATTTGCATGCATCGCTTTTTAAATGCTTTAGTTGAAGCGCTCGCCAAGGGCTTCTTTGGGAGCAGCAAGGGAGCGCTTCTTTCTAATGGCACCCAGTGTTAAAATACAATGAAGTGTGAAATTAGGAAGGGAGCGCTCACTGCTGAATATGGAGCGCTCCAATAGCACTAATGGAGCGCTTCTGGCCCCGTTGGGAATGTACGACAGCTTCTCCTCCAATTTATAGTGTGCGTTTTCAACCAAATACAGGGAACCATCAACAATTTTTTTTTTTTTTGCATCTTGGGCGATGGATCGAACTTGGTGCTAACCGAATGGTAGTGTGCACCGGTTGGTTACAGGCTACATGAGGCGATTTTACAGTCAACTTTTAGTTGAAAGCAACAATCGCCTGGTGTGAGCGGCCTTTCATGAACCGCCATTGCCAAAAATGCAACCTCCGACCACGTAGGCCCCCTATGGATCCCTAAGGACTCGTTAGAAAAATCGCCTAAAGTTACAATTTTCACTTGCGTCCACAGTATTTTTGCGTAGTATTTCTTCGTAGGCGGTTGTTGTTGTTGTTGTTGTAGTAGCGGCTACAACAACCAAGCCAATATCGGTTAATATCTCAGTCGTTGTCGTCAAGTTCCACTAACGACAGCCCTAAGAAGCGTGCAGCCTCAATAGGGTCGGTCCACAGGGACAAAGGCGTAAGGGTTGTCGGGTTCTCCGGGCATACGAAGAGATGTTTCGAGTCATGGGGTTTCTCTCCGCATGCCGGACACTCATTTGGTACATCTGCGTTTAGTCTGCTCAGGTATGAGTTTAACCTGCTGCAGTAGCCAGAGCGAAGTTGGGCTATTGTGGTTCTAGTCTCCCGAGGCAGATGAAGCTCCGTCTCGTCAATGTCCGGTGGTTGTGTGCCCATAACGACATTCACAGGGCGGGAGTCTACATAACTCGAGACTGATTGCCAGTGAATGCCGCTCAGGGCCTGTCGGTAGGCTGACGGGTCCAGAGGTTGTTTANAAATTTATTTTCAGTCAATTAAGTATGAAAAATATTTAAAATTAAAACGTTTTGGTTTAGAATTTGAAAAGCTACTTATAATTAAAAACATTTCATTTGTATGCATCATTTGTCGAAAAAATTGTGTGTAGAAAAAAAGTTACTTCAAGCTTCAATATCATTTAATTCTTCAGAAAAGGCGCTGAAGTATAATATCGCCATTCTAACCACCTAAATAAGAAGGCATATTGATATGATGGACTTCTTTTATCGAAAAAAAGCTTTGGTAAGAATAACTTATAACTAAAAATTCCTATGGTTTATTAAATAATAATTTAAAATTTTCCTATGATAAATTGCAGGATCTGACTAGCGTGAAGCAAAACCATCAGCCGCATTTTGGAAGGAAAGACAATCTGTATGTATTTATATATGTAAAACATCTGTCTTTTCTTAATTAAGGTTTATAATTTATTTATAAATATACATAAAAAAAAATTTTACAATGTACATATATACCAAAACCTGTTTGTGATTTAATAAAAATAACATTTTTGAAAACGCATGTTTTTAAAACGAAAAAGAAACATTTTAGAATTTTATTTGAACGTGGGCATTTACTAAATGATCGTTTCTAAAAACGAATTGAAAATGTGCGTGTCAAAAACAAAAATGTAGATTTTAGAAGTTGAATTGAAAATTTTCGTTCTCAAAACCTAAGTAAACATTGTAGGTGCAAAACCTGGGTCGAAACGTTGTTAAAAGTAAAACGTTCCACAAAAATTTTAAAACGAAAATTTCTCTGTGTAAAAGTTAAACAGTAGCGGGGAAAGAACGCCACCCTGTGGAACCGCCTGTTTTATTTTTCTGAGTTTGCTCGATTTGTCTCTAAACATTACCGACGAGTGTCGACCACTCGGATAATTCGCCGACCACCGTCTGAGCCTCTGTGGGAGAGAGAAAGCCTCTATATCTTCTAGTAGCGTGGAGTGGCTGACGGTGTTAAACGGCTTTGACAGGTCCAACCCTACTAGAATAGTTCTCTCACAGGGACGGTTGCGGTTAAGGCAACGTGTTATCTGAGTGTTTAAGGCGTTAAGTGCTGCTGTTGTACTGTGCACATTACGGAAACCGTGTTGATGCTTCGCTGGGGTCAGGTGGTTCGTGAAATACGGGAGCAGCAAGGCCTCTAGTGTCTTCGCTACCGGGGAAAGGAGCGTTATCGGTCGATACGATTTTCCTTTGTTGGCTGGTTTCCCCGGTTTGAGCAATGGGACCACTCTCCCCACCTTCCAGATGTCTGGGATGATGAGAGTGGCCATTGACAAATTGAGGAACTCCGTTAGGTACGCTACTCCCGCAGGACCCAAATTTTTCAGCATCAGCATGCATATTGCGTCGGGACCCATGGCTTTGGAGGCTTTCGCCTACCCGATGACCACATGAACTTTACCGCTAGTGAAAGCAAGGGAGGCACAAGTTGTTGGCAGTTTGTGCTGGCTTCTGGTCACTCGACGCTTGGCTTTGTCCGCCGGAGGATGCAGTATGAACTGCCGGGTAAAATAGCATGGTCGCCGAAAGAAATTTCGACCCTGTCGTCGTGCTTCGTCGGATTGGACAGTGGCCTCACGGTTGACCAAAGCTTACTCACACCAGGGGTGGAGTTGCAAGTCTTCAGATGCTCTTCCCACTTTTTCCGCTTAGGTACGTTCACAAGCTGCCGAATCTCCGCGTTGAGATCCCTAATGCGGGGATTTCCGGGATCGGCCTGACGAAGGTTGTCACGCTCATCGCACATAGGGGTATTTGACCGAGTTTGGCGGCCAAAATTATATTTATGAAAATTTTAACTCAAAATGTTTAGAAACGACGTGTTACAATATTTAAAACTGTAAATGTGTAAAATCATGAGTGGGAGGATGTCCAAGTATTCGACCAAAACAACGAAAATAAAGTTGCTTGAAGTTTAACATCGATAAACTCCCTGGTATCGCGGTCCGATTGTGGAAACATTGATACCTATGTATTCACATCGCCGCGGAGAAGATTTATATCTAGGTTAGAACATAAAAGCGGTTGCCACCTGCTAAAAAATCAAATGCAATTAAGTTAAATGAATACTAAAATATGGGTATCAATGAGATGTTTTTGAAAAGGCTTTATTTCTAAACAACATGTGGGAGGATTACCATCTGTATAAGAATTAAATTCAACTTTAATTCAAGGGAATTAGGTAACTGAAATATGTATAACAATATTGGTGTCAGACTGAAAAGTTTAATAAGGTTATAGTTTGAAACTATTTTTAACAGGGCTTGCTTAAACATTAAATTCAATGTATATGACAGGTTAAATTAATTTTAACAATATGAATATGGAACATGAGATGGTTTGCCACCTGTTAAAAATGTGATTCAATTTCAATGAATTACTACGCTAAGGGTATCATCCAAAACGGCTTTGAAAGGGCTTAATTTTCAATTACATTTATTAGGATTGCTACCTGTTTAAAAACCAAGTTAAATCAAAATAACAAATGATTAAAAAAACACTATACGGAGTAACCATTATGTTGAGTTTTATTGCACCTTATCTAACACGCAGAAATTTCATACACTCATCGAACTAACTATAGTATATAGTAATTTGTTTTATTTGAAAAGTCTTTTAACTTTCATTTTTTAGTGAATCTTTTGCGCCTCCTTAGAATTAATAATTATGAATAATTTCGAATACGTGGCAACTTTGTACAAAAATCTCCAGATACCCTTAAAATTAAAAACATTACCTAAATACAAAATTCCATCAATATCGTTAGAGTCGTTTCCTAGAAACCTTTGGATATACATACATACATATTTACAAGAGTTGATTGTTTAAAGTAATGAGATACATACATACAGTCAGTCAATAAAGTTTAGGTACAGCGATTTTTTTACAATACGGGCAACTATTTTTTAAATATTTAATTTTTCGCTAATTTTTTATAAAAATATGGTTAACTATACAACAAAACCCCCAAAAAAAGAGAGTTCCAAACCTTGTGCAAAAGTAAAGAAAATTCTGCAAAATTTCATTCAAATATTGCACTTTTTATTTATGCTCTCTAGAAAAAAGTTGAGCATGCAGTTTTTTAGCCCATTCAATTTTAGTATAATAAGGTGCAAGTATGAGAAAGCTAGGACTTACCATTGATTTTTGGGGAATTTTTTTGTTTAAGGTGGCGCACATTTTTTCCATATAAAAAAATTATCAAACATTATTTTATATGGAGAAAATGAGTGACACCTTCAACAAAAAAAATTGCTAAAAATCAATGGTAAGTCCTAGCTACCTCAGACTGGCACTTTGTTATAATAAAATCGAACGGGCTAAAAAATTGCATACTCAACTTTTTTCTAAAGAGTGTAAATAAAAAGTGCAATATTTCGATGAATATTTGCAGAATTTTCTTTACTTTTGCATAAGGTTCGGAACTCTGACTTTTGGGGGTTTTTATTGTAGTCAAGCATAATTTTATAAAAAATTAGCGAAAGGTAAAATTTTTGNGACTTTTGGGGGTTTTTATTGTAGTCAAGCATAATTTTATAAAAAATTAGGTAAAATTTTTTAAAAATAGTTGCCCGTTTTGTTAAAAATTTGCTGTACCTAAACTTTATTGACTGACTGTATATGTAGTTTGAGAAAAAAATCGTACGATTTTACTGCCTTAAAAACTTACTTGCAAATTTTTACTAGAACTAGNGAAAAATAGTTGCCCGTTTTGTTAAAAATTTGCTGTACCTAAACTTTATTGACTGACTGTATATGTAGTTTGAGAAAAAAATCGTACGATTTTACTGCCTTAAAAACTTACTCTCAAATTTTTACTAGAACTAGCTTAAGTAGATAATTTTTTTCTAAATGTACTGACAACTATTTTCTCCCTGCAACTCTCCAAATTTTTATATTGAACCCCTCCTCCCGCACCGTCCCAGCCACCCTCTTAACGTTGTCGGGCGTCTTGTCTTTCCTATCACCCCCTTTACTCTTTGAACACTTTTACAAAACACCCTGTTCATGTAAAGAAAACAGGTACAGTACTGCAGCAGTATTTTCGGTTTATTTTTCGGCAGTAGTAAATATTTCCAATGGTCAGTGCACAGCAAACGCACCTTTTCAGCAGTTTTTTTTGTTTGTTTCCAGACTACGAACTGTCAAGCACAAAACCCAAGCAAGAATCTCAGCGCCGTTGAGTGGAGTTACGTAACTTTATGACTGTAGTTCATTTCTCTAATCCATTAAAATTTGCAAAAATACGATATTTTTCCTTATAGCTTTGCCCGTACANTCAGTGCACAGCAAACGCACCTTTTCAGCAGTTTTTTTTGTTTGTTTCCAGACTACGAACTGTCAAGCACAAAACCCAAGCAAGAATCTCAGCGCCGTTGAGTGGAGTTACGTAACTTTATGACTGTAGTTCATTTCTCTAATCCATTAAAATTTGCAAAAATACGATATTTTTCCTTATAGCTTTGCCCGTACAAGTTCATATTATATTTGTATTAAACTATTTGGATTACATGGTATTTCTCTGCTTTATAATTATATAATTTAATATAATTTAAAAGATGAACACACGATTTAAAGCAGATTTTTACAACTTCGGCTTGTATTAAACACATCTAAAAACCAAATAAACAATTATCAACACGGCACTTTGATAGCGCGGAGCGAGCGAATTAAAGCAAAGAGGGATTAAAAAATAACGGAATCTAGTCAAGAATTATATTCTCTTCACACTATATTCAGTTAAAAAACAAAAAAGTGCGTTTGGAAAATTCGACTTTTGGCCGCCTAAATCGGCCAAATACCCCTCTGTGCATCGGCTAGAACAGCCGCTTCAGCAGGGAAGTTTGGACGGGGGTCCGTAATGCATCCTGCCGGTACGAAGCGAGCTGCAGCAGCAGCGACAACCCTGCGGACCTTACGTTCACCAAGGTGGACGTCGGTTGGTGTGGGGAGCGCAGCGAAGGTGCTCTCAGTAAATTCCGCGAAGCCTTTCCCATCAGCTTTAGATAAGTTTATATAGGTCCGGTGATCCGCGGAAGCAAAGTCGGTTGGTTTATCGATCGAGACGACTATGGGCAGATGGTCTGATGCCAAAGTCAGCTGCTGCCCATAATCGTGGTGGGTGCATCGTCGTTCATTTTGCAAAATGTCGATTAGTCTATCTGCTCAGCTAAGTCTGTTCCCCTACGATCGTTTGACAGGCTTGAGTGCCAAAGATCGTGGTGCGCATTAAAGTCACCTACTACCATACGGTTTTCACCTCTGAGGGGCGCACCTATATCAGGGTGATATCCTGCCGGGCAGCAAGTGACAGGGGGTATGTACACGTTAAATCTTTCGAGCTCAACATCGCCTGATCGGATAGCAATGCCCTGACATTCTAGGGTGGTATCCCTGCGGTCGATGTCTGCTTCAATAAGACGATACTGCACGCTGTGGTGCGTGATGAACGCTAAGCCACCACCATTATCTCGCTCGCGATCTCGACGGTGCACGTTGTACCCGGCACAATTCAACAATGTTGAATTGTTGTGCAACTTCGTCTCTTGGACTGCAGCACAGTGGTACCGCTCTCGAAGGAAGGCGGTCATAGAGGTTTTGTGAGCGATGAATCCGCGGTTTTTTGTCTCGTTGTTTTGGAAAAAATCCCTTTGATGAAAAAGTGCATAGAAATGTGATTTTTTGAATTTTTTATTTATGTAAAGTCAAATTACTACTAGATTATACAAACAATGCATACAAAAGTAAGATAGTTTTAAGTGCATAATAAATCTAAAACCTCTTTTGATAGCTCAGACTTGGA